CCAAAAGGTACTCTAGTGGATTGCCGCACCCATTTCGAGTTAGGCGTGTTATGCCTATTAGCGCGTGAACCTCCAAGTGGGTGAATCGCCACAAGGAGGACTAGCTTGCCAACAAGCAAGTGAACCTCGGTGAAAAATCATTATGTCTATTGGTATTCATTGTGATTGATTTTTTGCTTGCTCAGCTCGATAACGATCCCTCTATCTCTCTTGTATTTACTTTTGTAGAGATATCTTGTGTAGAGGTAGCCGAGCTAGTAGAGTAGCTCTCCAGTGTAGCACAGAAGTAATTAGTTGAATTACTTGTTTAGGTTGCTCACTAGTGGTAGTTTTAGTGACCTAGCCATTGTGTGGTACACTAGAGATCATAGAATTATAATCGGCTAGGTGGCTTGCACCACAAGTGTAGAGCTAGTGTAAAACTTGCTTCGCCTCATATTTATCTAACCCATTGACTTTAAGTGTTGTTTGTAAAAAAATTTAATAGACTATTCACCCCCCTCTAGCCATTAGGACCTTTCAACTCCAGCTGGTGGCGCCCTCTCCAGATCCGACAGCGTCTCCTTTCCATCAGCCGACGGCAGGCATGGCAGGGCGCGCACCATCCAGCGAGCCTGCGCCACCGCAGTTGCCCACCAGGTAAGTCATGCTCGTACGGGGATGATGTGTTTTTCAAGTGTTTCTGCATGCTTTTTTCAGACATGTTGCAAGCCCATGTTTTAAGTGTTTTAGTTGTTTCATATGTATGTTTCAATTGTTTCATGTGGATATTGCAAAAACTAGATCGGGATGTTGCATATGTTGCAATGTTTGTACACGTATGTTGCAAACGGGTTTTCCTAATGTTTCATCAGTTTTTTCAGATGTATGTTGCAAGTATGTTTATCTGGTTGTTGCATATGTTTCACTCACATGTTGTAAGTGTTTTATCTGGATGTTGCGTATGTGTTGCCATGGTTTTCAAGTGTTTCATGTGTTTTTTCAAGTGTTTTAGACGTATGTTTGAAACGTTTTATCTGTGTTCATACGTATGTTGTAAGTGTTGTATCTGGATGTTGCATATCTTACACTGGCTATACACGTATGTTGCAAGTATATGTTTCAAATGTTTCAACTGTCTTAATATATGTTGCAAGTGTTTTATGTGAATGTTGTATATGTTGCAGTGCCTATACACATATATCATAGGAAGAGGTGGTCCCCTCAGGGTGCAGCGGTCCCCACGTGCGCCAAACTAGGTGTGGAGCACGAAGTTGGGCGTGGAGCATGAAGCGGCATGCATGCTGGCCTGCTATCTCTCTCCTCCTTATTCTAGCTGGATGCGGCAGGTCAGCATCAACATGATGCGCCAGTAGCAGCATGCGGGCAGCAGAGTGCGTGGTCAGGCGTGAGGCTGCTCCTGATTGTAGCGGGCGCTATAGTCCCCCTGGCCCCACAAGCTGTCAAATCAGGACGCAGGCGTGGGGCGTTCGGACGTACTGCTGGCGCCGGACGTCCGGGCGCTAGACGCGCCGTTTATAATTAGCTCATGTTTAGTCTTTCTAGTTAGCATCCAAACGTCTGATGTAACACAGACTAAACTTTAGCTCCTAGATCCAAACAGTCCTCACATGTTTACTACTTTACTCCGTCCGAGTTGCATGACGTAGCACTCCCACTCTTTTGCAAAGTCGCTGGATCTGTTAGGTTTCTTAGTGGGCATGGTGCTTGTCCTAACTGGATTCGATATGCACAACTTCTTTGAGAAAAGTAACTAGCCCTTGTTATCAGATGGGACTCCTTGTCCGAACAGAATTATAGCTGGGTTTGTTCGCTCTTCTATATCTACTAGGTAGCGTTCCCGTACGTTGCTACGGGATAACTAACAATTTATACTAAAAACATACGGATCGTACGATAAGATAACAATACTGTAAAAATTAAATACCAACGTTAAAGTAACATTTAATCCAAAAAGCAAAGTTTATGAATTTAACACAGTCACAGAGTGCGCGGCGTCGCAGGCTCACAAACTCTACTTTATTGACCTTTCCGTAATGCGGCTAAGATAATGTTTTATATTAGCAGGAAGAAATCTCTGATATCCATTTCTTTCATTGTAATCCATTTATCTGGACAATGTTTGAGGTGAGGGCACGGTTATAGTTTTTAGTAGCTTTACGATATTATCTGAAGTTATGAGATGATTGATGTCTTGCAATGATCCTTTTATTAATTTAGTTTTCTATCTATGTGAAATTGTTTATTCGGTCTATTTTATAGGCACGCCGGCAGATAATGGATGACAAAATTCAAGCATCCATAATTTATCTCTTTGACTTTGAGCATGAGTTTTGTTTTTACCGTAGCGTTAGCACGGGCATGCATGAAAAACGAAGATGTCTTTACACTGCAGAAATCTTTCAAGAAGATCATGCATAGATTATTCTTGTATTGAATATTATATATATAATCACCTAAATATTCTAATTAAACTACAAAATTTTGAATTAGGATACGAGGTAAGACATGCAAACAGATATTTCAAAACTACCTGTAGAGTCCAAAGAACTTAATAAATAAATCTTTCTGGAGGCAATGCAAATTCTCTCTAATCTTTCATTTGGTGTAGTTAGTGTTATCATAGTACCGGCATGTATTCATGGGAAATAAATCGTAGACAAAATATGGACACTTTTTGGTGCGACATTCCAACATGGGTCCATCATCCTGCCAATATCCTTGAGGCAGATCACATAAAGGATGAGAGTCCCTCTATGAGATTGCTCACAAGAGACTCAAACTTATATCTGATCATGGTAATGTTGAATTGCTTTGCATCAAAAGCATCGGCAATGATAAATGAGGACATAAGTTTTAGTATGCATAGTGGAGGAAAACTCAATCTTGGCCTTCTCAGCAGCTTTTCTGAGCCTTTGCAGTGCTAACTTGTCCTTACTCAGATAGTCAAGAGGTGCAAAGAGGTTCCTTTTGTCTTAATTCTCTTTTCTTCTGTGTTAATTCTCTTTCATTTTGCTCGTTGTCATGTATGCTGGTGCATGCAAACATGCAATGTGTATATGGATATCACAATAATTTTCTACTTCCTATTTTGTCATGATTCCTCTATCACATGACAGGCAATATTCAATCAAGGAGAATGACACGATCAATCAGTAATTAAGATTAACCTGTAACATGTGGGAGATGTCGTGGAATTGTAGGCGTGGGTAGACGGACGAACCAAAACAAATTTTCATCCACACTTTGTTCTTTTTAGTTGTAAGAGATATCTATATCTATACCTAATAATAAAGAGGCAAAATTTCTGCACTAATAAATTTTCATCCAACTCTGATCTCTATTCGAATTCTATTTTTTATGTCTGGTCATTTCTTTCCTTGTTTCTTTTTGAAGTCGCGTTCAGTGCGGAAGAAGAAGAAGAAAGGGTTGAGGGAGGAATGTCAAAGAACTAATAAATTTCCGTCCAACTCCGATCTCTATTCGGATTGTATTTCTTATGTCCGGTCATTTCTTTCCTCGTTTCTTTTCGAAGTCGCGTTCAGTACGGAAGAAGAAGAAGAAGAAGAAGAAGAAGAAGAAGAAGAAGAAGAAGAAGAAGAAGGGGTTAAGAGAGGAATGTGAAAGAAATAACGGGTTCCAGATGCAAAGATACTAGAGACAAAGAAATAATAAAAGGGCTTAAGCGATTTTAGAAACAAATTTAGGGTTCCTGATGAAAAAATCCTTTTTATTTTTTCTTTTATTCGCTTGGGCCTACTGTGGTGGGCCTCATATTCGGCCTCAGGCTGCGCTGCGGGCTAGGCCGAAGCCCATGGCCCAACCGCACAGTAGCCCTTTTCCTTTCTTTTCTGTTGCCTTTTCTTTTAAACCAGTTGAGAATTCTAAAAATCATAAAAAGTCACAGAAAATTCACAAAAATACCGGCCGCACGGTAGGCCTTTTCCATTCTTTTATGTTTTCTTTTCTTTTAAACCAATTAAGAATTCTAAAAATCATAAAAAATCATAAAAATACCAAACCGGTTTTGTTACACTCCCTTTGACTAGGGCTACACAGTAAATATATAATATAATATTCTTTAGTATAAATATTTTGATGTATCTATAGATCTATGCTTTTATGTAATTAATTTGCTGAAATTTTTATCTGTATCTATATCTACTCTCACCGTGCTCCAATTATTTATGTGTTCTAGATCTACCTATACCTGACATATTATTAATTAAAGAGCCAAAATTTTAGCCCCTTTTTTGGTTCGCTTCCCCTAACTACCCGATGGTGTAGTTTCTTTCGTCCAGACTTATATAACTTGTGCTCATGCGAATTAGAAGAGCTCACGTCTAGCGCGATACGGAGTCCGATTCCAAGATGTATTGGGTTGTGTATATGATCCGGACTCATGAGCTGTGCTTATACAAGTTAGAACAACTCACGTTTAAAGATGATTAAGTTGAGTGTGAGCCAATGACGGCAGCTTAACTTGGTCCGGGTAATTGGAGGGTCGCCAGATGCCAGATTCGGACGCAGCCAGGGGCTAGCTAGCACGACTGGGGCAGCCCTCGGAAAGCTAGCGCCGGCCAGGTGCAATTGCAACCCCCACCCCAACCTAAATGGCGCGGCCATATCTAGCGAGTCAGTAGCTGGAGGCAGGTTGACGGTGGCCATGTTTGACCTGAATCGATATAAGCGACTGGGACAAAAAAAAATACATACGTGACGAAAAAACGGAGAGAGAAGGAAACAACTTGCTATTGAATATGGAAAGTTAGTTGGAGAAGAATTTCAGCAATTTCTTATCCGTAACTCGATGAGTGTGAAAACTGTCTCTGCTCGTGCCACCGACAATATAATAAATTGTTCTCCCGTTGCAACGCGGCATATTTGTTAGTAAACAAATATAATTGATCACATGAATCTGCGCTGAATATAATTCCCAATATTTGCTATGGCAGGAACTTGTACAAGCCCCAGCTGGTCCGACTCCGACCTCCCAATTGATGCCCTCCTCCTCATCCTGCAACGCCTCGAGCTTCCCCAATCACTTGTCTTTGCATCAGTTTGCACAACAATGGAGGGCTGCCGCCATGACCGCCGGTGTTCCTCGTTCTTGCACACCATTGATCTTGTCTTGGGCCCACCTTCAGGAAAGGCTGGCGCAGGCAGAGTGCCCCTCAGCTGTGACCTGCAACTTGTACCACCTTCTCGACGGTAACAAGGCCTACGGTGTTAGTTTTCCACGCGGCTGCTTTACTGCGTGCTGTGGAGCCTCTCATGGATGGCTTGTTTTGGTAAACGAACTCTCCAATCTTGTGCTTTACAACCCCTTCACCACGCGCATTATCCCTCTGCCACCAATCACGGATTTCTCATGCGTGGAAGCAGTCTACCGTAGCGGAGGGAGCTTGGAAGGTTACCATCTTGGAACGGGTGGAAGAGTCTTTGGTTCAAATGAACTAGGAACATTGTTTTACCAGAAGGCAGTGTTGTCTTGCAGTCCATCCAAAGGTGGTGACTACATCGTGATGATCATCCATCATGATAGTGATTGGCTTTCTTTTGTTAAGGCAGGTCAGAGAAATTGGCAAGTGGCTTCAACTTTAGTTGTAAGCGAGAAAGACAGATATGCAGACTGTGCATACCATGGTGGGAGGTTCTACACAGTTACATTCCTTGGAATGGTGGAGAAATGGGATATCAACGGATCGAATGGACCAACAAGGGAGGTGGTGGTTGGTTGCCACAAGGCGCCATGTAGGACTGATCCTTACTAGGCATTTGGTGCCTACACCGTGGGGCGATCTCCTGCAGGTTCGTGCAATTCGGTCAGATGGATGCCCGGATGGCATCAGATTCCAAATCCGCAAGGTAGATCCGGATGGATGCAAGAGGAATTCATACAAGGATTTGATGGATCATACTTTGCTCCTTGGATTGAATCACTCGGCATGTTTGCATACCAAGGATTTTCCTGGGCTTCAGGCTCAATGTGTCTATTTCTCTGTTCCCTGGACGGTGGAAACATTCCACTGGATTCGTCGAGGCTGCGTTTGGGGAGGTGTGAGGATTTACAGCTTTGAGCGCAAAAAGTTTGAGCGTGCTCTTCCCATTTGTTATAGTAAGGGATTTTTCCACGTTACTCCTACTGAGGTCTGGATCACCCCGAATCTGTAATAATTAGCGCAAAGCAATCATTTATTTTCTACCCATGTGTAATTTTAAGGAATTGATTGGCCCTACTATACTGAGGTTGGGATCACCCGGGATCTGTAATAATCAGGCTTCCCTCATTTGTAATACACCATCCTTTTCAAAATATAGCTATTCACATCTATAACACAACTTATAAGTGCACCATAAAAACGTATTTCATGATTGGTGTGATGATTCTAGTTTGATGTCAATCTTGATATATTTCATATAAATTTAGTTAAACCTGAGATAGGTTGGCAAGAACAAACATAAACTCAGCTATATTTTAGAACAAAGAGAATAGTAAGGAATTGAACAACCTTCTCGCCGAGGTCTAGGTCACCCTGAATCTGTCATATCAACGCAAAGCCATCATGCAATTTGATAAGGCATGCTAACTATTCAGACCTGACTACTATTGACTTAAAAGGGCACAATACTAAAGAAAAAAAATGGGTGGGCACAACCATTTGTAATCTCTATGGAACAATTAAAATTATACTAGGTTCCCCAGGAAAACGTCCCCGGCTGAGAGCCTCCAACCATTTTGCACCCAGAAAAATGCACACAAAAATTCGTCTCTATTAAAATCAAGGGCTAATAAAACACCTAAACCAAATTCGATGGCCACGATTCTACGTGTGATGCCAGGCTTCTCACCCCCGCGCCCTCCTCGCACCTCAACGCACGCAGCCTCACCCAGCGCGCCCTCCGCCTCACGCCGCGCGGCTTGTAATGCTCCTCACACGAGCAGAGTTTGAGAGCTGCAAACACGGAATAAAAAAAAAGAAACGCACCATCGCCGGCCCGAGCCTCACCCATGGACACGCCGCTCATAGGCCATCCTCTCCCCATTTGCGCCGCCGCCCATCTCCATCCTGCTCTCCAATTCCCGCCCCTATCTGTGCAGTATTGACAAACCACGAGACACCACGCGTCCACGCCCTTCGGATCCCCACCTCCATGGTTCGATCCCCCGCGGAGACTGAGCATGAGCGACGCGGATGCACTAGGCGGCCTCCAATGGCAACAACCACGAGCAGGAGTTGAAGAATAGGTGGTGGACAACTTCCTCATCATGGGACCTCAGCCGCCGCCTCGCCGTCGTCACCCCTCCGTCCGCCCCCTTCTCGTTCCGCGCGAAACCCTAGCTCAGGCCCGACTTTTGGGTTGATCTCGATTCGGTTCTCGATCAGCCCTTCAATCCGCGCCGTAGGTTTAGGGTTTGCGGGGGTTTTCGGCGGGTGTTTGATGGTGCCACCCTCGTGGGGTTTCGTGCTGTTGTTGCATGTGCGAGTTCATGACTAGGCCACCATGCTTGGTGGCGCCAGGTGTTTAGATGCGTCTAGGGGTGGTGCTTGGTTAGTGAAGCGAGTTCGCTTCGATTTATGTGGACTGGATGCAATGTTCAGGTTGCCTTCTGTATTTATTTTGAGGCGCTGATTTGACTGATTGGATTAGTTTCAGTCAGTTATATATAGTTCTGATTTTTGTTGTGATACTGACAGATATCTCTCTTATTATGCTTCATATCTATGTTTTGTATACATTTGTTGTGGGTGTATGGCTCACTACATGTAGATCGGTGTGGTGATGTTGATGCACCTGTTAATATTCTTACGCCGCATAATAATGTAGCTGAAAACCAATGCCTCAGCCCTGTTTCTTAAAACATGCCCTTTTTCATTTGATATGTGTACAAAAGGTACTAGATCGTGCTTGGATATTTTTTAACTACTTTTATGATTTATCGCATGGTAAAAGAAGAATATGCTTGAACTATAGAACACTCAGCAAATCTCCTCTGTCCAAATATATACCTATTAGTTATACGTGAAGATTTACTACATCTTTCTCTTGTCTTATGAAGCTTGATGCAATAATTTAATCGATCAGTCATTATACTGATATATGTCATATGTCCTTGTACTTTAGCTTATCTGCCATTACCTGCTTATCTTTTTCTTGTCCGAATGAAGAACAATGTATACTTTCATTTACACAAGTTTTGAATTTAAGGTTTTATATGAGACCTTTTAAACATATTTTTTTGTTAGCTATTTTGTAGACTGATCAGTTAACCATTTTGATTATTATACCTGTCTATTTAGCTTATCAGTTAACTGACGCATACCTCTTGCCTCACATCTACTTGTCTTTTTGTTGTCAAGAATATTAAATGGTTGATTTTGTTAGAGTTGCCTTTGGAATGCCGAGTTGTATTTCAGAAAATTATTGACTTGAGAATAGCAGGCTGAACCTTAGCCAGTTGGAGCAGGAGCTCCAGCATGCTCGCCAACAGGTATGATCGTCATGTACTCATCTTGTGTTCTTTGGATTCGACAAAATCTGCAGTTCCTGTTGAACAAACTGTTTTTTCAACGTTTTGCTACTTGTTCAGGGCATTTTTATTCCTACTCTGGGAGACCAGCCTCATTCAACCGGTGAAAATGGTAATTTACTATTTTTTTTGTGTGTCAAATGTTTAGATCACACTGGACAATATCCTGAACTAATATGTTATATGTATTTCTAGGTGCTTTGGCATTTGACGTGGACTATGCTTGATGGCAAGATGATCACATTAAGCAGATAAATGAACTAAGGGCCGCACTCAATGCACATGCCAGTGACGATGATCTTCGGCGTATTATCAATAGCTTCATGGCACATTACTACGAAGCTTTCAGGCTTAAGGGTGTAGCAGCCAAGGCAAACGCTATTCACGTGCCGTCAGGAATGTGGAAGACCCCTGTCGAGAGGTGTTTTTATGTGGTTAGGTCGATTTTGACCGTCAGAGATTCTGAAGGTTTATGCTCTCTCCTCACTTGTTCTTATTGCGTCATGTGCTTCTGTCAAAGCTGAAAGGCTTTCCGGTTTCTTTTTACACAGTTGCTTGCAAGACATCTGGAACCCCTTACTGAACAACATTAACATTGGAAGGCCCACCAAGACACCAGGATATTGCTATTCCGATCTTTGGTATTCTAACTCTTTTCAACATGTGTTATTGTGGATGCATACATCACATGACTGCAAAGGCCATTGCACATGAACCGGACATAGCATGAATCTCATGCATATAAATATTAGACAGGTGAACAATATTTGAGGAGGGCTCTTCCAATTTGAGCTTGAAGTCCACCTGAACCACCTCATGCATATCAATTAACTATATTTTTCTGGACTAGACTCTTATTGGTAGATTGATTTTTTATGGTATATCAATTAATTTTTTGCCGATAATGATATCAATTAGTTATTGGATCACCGGAGTGTGTGATTGGATAAATTGTTAGTGTTTTAAATGGCATCTTGGAATTTTCTTTCTACAATTACGGAGTGCAAACAAATTCTAGCTTACACTACATATGTACATGCTTGTATGTATACAACTGAATAATGTTGTAACATTGCTGGGATGTGGAGGAAGCCAAAGTTGTAGCATGTTTGGAGGGGATTCGGTAGAAGTAGAAATAGAATCTGTAGCATGCTCGAGTCTAACAGCTCTTGAGTTTATTTCTTTTTCTTTTGTTGATACGTGCAAATACAACCTAATCGCTCCTTGGTGGCATCGATCGCCCATGATCAGCAGGAAGGCTGATAGCTACAAAGCTCAAGAATTGAGAAGTTTAGAGTGGAGCGAAATAAAGTTGGGAATGAACGTGCATGTTTGGCCAATATGTCATGTCAAAGACTGAGTATTGTTTTTAATTTTGAGTCGAGTGATATCGTTGAATCCGTGGTAATAAAGCTCTCTTTGGCAAAGAGCTAGGTGTCCTATAGTAATTTTGGATCAAGATCTTTTGAAACTAAGTATTGTGCAGGTAAACCATTTTTTGTTGTGTGATTTGCATTACTAAATATTACCGTAGCGTTAGCACGGGCATTATATTAGTGGTAAGGAATTGATCAACCCTATTACTGAGATCATCCGGAATCGGTAATAATCAGCGTAAAGCAATCATTATGCAATTTGGTGACCTCACTACTATTGGAAGGGCACAATACAAGAGAGAGAAAAAGAAGTGTGGGCGCACTATAATTCTTCGTGTTACAACACCCAAAGTGATGTCTTGAGACTGCGCCAACAAAGTCATAGTAGAACATGTAAGATGGGTCTGTTTGGTTTCCATAAGTCAGATGACTTATTAAATCAGGTGATTGAAAATCAGTGACTTATAAGTCATGCCTGTTTGGTTGTAGATGACTTATAAGCTCATTAAAGGTATGGGCCTCACGCGAAAAAGGGTGACTTATAAGTTTTAAGCAGGGGTGAACCAGCTTAAAACTTATAAGCAGGGATGACTTATAAGTTGGTGGTGTTTGGCAAAATAAGTCACTTATTTTACTTTTTAACTTATAAGTAGGTGACTTATTTGGAACCAAACAGGCCTTTGGAAGTGGGAAACACAGACCAATTATTTTTTTTTCTCCACGGCCATTCTTTCAGCTGACTGTACATCACTTTATTTCTCCACGGGGTAAGGATCGCACACTTAATTAGGAGAATTCTTTCGGAAGCTCACTGGTCTGCTTCCAACGTAGTCCTGAAATAAAAAGAATAGAAAGATCTAAAAAA